GGAGTTAACATTGGAATGCTCATAACACGTTTTGTTTTGAAAATTGAATTGATTATACTTGTTTGTATGTTCTTTAAAAGTGAAAATTTTCACAGTATATCATTTGTTAATGGAATAATTCTTAAATTAACTAACTAAAAACTTTTGTTAATTTTTTTCTTCAGTTTTTAGAAGAAGCATTTGATAAAAGCATAGATAATTCCTCCAATGCTTAAACAAAATACCCAAAGAAATGAACATATCCAAAATTCTATTCCTATAGAATTGGTTTCTATAAATACAGCAATTGGAGGACAAAATATACATAAACAAAATATCATCAATTTGTTGTATACCATAAATAATTTTAAGAAATGGATTATGAGTTGATAGATTGAAATTAAAAAAAAATTTTAAAGGTCATTTCATCATTATAATGTGATTAGATTCAATCATATCTTTAAATCTTCAGATCAATAGTCTTATAAATGAGTAGTACAGTTTTTGAAATTATTCATTCTACAACGTGTTTATCTACAACAAAATGTAAAATGATATCTTCATTAAAAAATACATTAAACCAGCTTGAATATACACAATTATATCATTATTACCTAAACCAAGAAAATGAAATGGTTCATAATGAATTACTTCATTTTTTTATCAATAACTTCAATACTAATTGTCTAATTTTAATAAAACAAGAAACTGATTTGAAGATAGAGTCAGACAAATGTGTTTTACTTCTTCTTCAAATTGTGTTGAAAGAACCATCTTTAGTTTTATGTCAGTCTTCTCTTTTTTCAATTAATGATTTATTCCAAGTTTGTTCAAGACATTTATTAACAAAATCATTAGTTGATTTAATAATCCAATTTATTACTCTTCTTCAATCTAATAAATTTTTGTTAAACAAAGTTTCGATAGATGAATTATCTTTTCATTGTATGATTAAAAGTCTTTATTTATTATTATTAGATTCTTTGGATTATTCTGTTTTTATTTTATTTAATCAATACCTCTTATTATCACCTGTAGAATTAATAGCATCATTATTTAGTCATTATAATATTGATCATTTAATTCAATCTACTTTATTATCAAAAATATCAGACCAATGTATCCAATTCCTTCGTATATTAGTTACTACATTATCAAATGACTTTTTAGAAAAATACTTTTCTCGTTCTCCATTATGTGATTATTTGATTGAATCTTTTTTTGAAAATCCAAATAATGAAGTTTTAATTACTTTATTAACTTATACCCAATTATCATCTTCTATTGCATTTCAAATATTAAAATATTTACCTCCTTTCTATCACTGTATTTTATTATTACCTCATCTCATTCATTATATTCCTAAATCCTCTGTTATTGAGTACTTTCAACAAGTTATTTTTCATCTTGACAGACAAACATTAGACAAAAATTTTATTGAAATTCTTCTCTCTTTTAATGAAGAATCTTCATTAGATATTTCTTCTATTATTCCACAAATTATTAAATATATTGAAGATAATGATGTAGAGCAAATAGAACAAATCCTTAAATTAATTCACCTAATAACATTACCACAATATTATTTATCTTTTTTGATAAGTGGTGGTTTACACGTATTGTTAGATTATGGTTGTGTTGATCAGTTATATTCATTACTCAAATGTTCATTATTTGATTTTATTCCAAATTTTCATTTAAATAAAAATGATATTCCTAGTTCATTCCAACAACTTCAGTTATCTATAGACACTACTCCATCATTAGCAATTCTTTGGTTATCTTTATTATCTGAACCACTTTTTTCTACTGACTTTATTTCCACTATCCAACCACAAGATTCTATTGGTTCCGAATTATTATTATCAATTCAATTACATTTGAAAAGTAATTGTACTCAACAATTTCCTGCGATTTTATTTGGTGATACTCCCTTTACAGGAACTTTATCATATCCATTTCTTGATATTCTTCTTTCAGAAGAAAATGAATTTCTCATTCAACAAAATAAAGAACTTATTATTGTTTCAATTCAAGGAATATTAGATGATCCTTCCTTTACTTTTCTTTCATTTAAAGAGAAGCAAGAATTTGAAATAAAAGTTGAATGGGTAAATTTCATATTAAGTAAATAACATATTCAGTATTTTTTTGAAATACTTTAAAATGAATAAAAAAAAGGAATTATTTTGTGTTAAAAATTAGAAAGAATAAACAAAATTAAATTAACCCAACACTTGAAAGAGTTGGTAATTGTTGAGTCGTAGTATTGTCAAATGGTTCAAAAAAAACTTGCCAATTGTTATAAGGAATAAAAGTAATAATATCAACTACCTCATTAGTGAAAGTAGAATTATTATTAAAGGATATTTCTTGACTATCAAAAGAAACAACACTAATGTTTTCATTTTTTATACTTTCTTCTTTGTTGCCTTCCATTTTAAAACTACTAATATCTAAAGAAGGACTAATTGAAGAGTTACATTGTTTTTCAATTATTTGGTTGTTTTCTTTTTTATTTTGAGATGATAATATTTTATCAGGGGGAATAATCATACGAATATATTCAGTAACATCATTTAACCTATCACTAAATGTTCTGAAACAAATTCCAAGCTTATTATAATCGAAAAAAATAGGTTCTTCACGTTTAATATCTGCTTGATCAAAAATATCTCTAATTGTATGATTAATCAATTTTCCAAATCTAGAAATTGAAGAAGTACATTCGAGATTTATTCCATTTCCTTTTAAACTAGAAACACGTTTCATTTTAACAATAATTCTTGTTGATCGGGTTTTTTTAAAATTAATAGAATATCCTAAATGTATCAATAAATCAGTAAGGAAGTTATTAGTTGAGGAAATGACATTTCTTTTTTCATATTTTTTTCTATCTTTCTTTTCTGGAGAAATTTGTTTCTCTTCATTAATTATAATTTGGTCAGTAATATAATTAAATAACACTTCATACTCACCAAAATGTATTGTTTCAATTGTAAAAAATAATGCTTCTGGGTCATTTTCTGTTCCAGTATGTGTTTTTCTTGGTTTTAATAAAGTAAATTTAACACCGTGAGACATTAATAAATAAATACATAATGCCTCTTGCTCTCCTTCAAATGAAGCTGAAATTCTTTTGGCTAATGTAAGTTTCTTTGGTTCCTTTGAAGCTTTGACTGAATGTTTCATATGAATTATTATAATTAGTTCAAAAACTTCATTTTAAATGAAGTTTATATTTTTAGTTGTAAGGAAAGAATAACTTCATTTATTTTTTTTTTTTTTAACTCTTCAAAAAAACTTCTTTCCCTTTTTATTTTTCATTTATTACTATATTTTCTTTTGCAAAAAAAAAAGGTCAATTAATAGATATATCCATAATTAGATTTTCTTCATATTGAGAAGTGATTATTTCAGTTTCTTCAATATGCTCTATTGTTATAATAGAGTTCATTTCTAGCATGCTCGCATTAGATTGTTCTTATTCTAATGTGTTGCCAGAATTGAATGTGTAAAACATTAAGTCTTTCATATTTTTTATTATTATTGTTTGTAGGATTTTGGCAAAGTCTAATTGTAATTTTAGTGATTGTAATCTTCTTACTGACTCTTTGTGAATTAATCAATTTATTGATAATATAACAGGTATTATTTCTACATATATTATTTCTCTATTGTTTCTTATTTTCTCTTGTAAGTCTTTGTATTTATTTATTTTATGAATATAATTTATTTCTAAATTATTATCTTGACATATAACAACATCTATAATATATCATTTCTTTTCTGTAATATTTTGATATTATATATCTTGTCTTCTATCATGGAAAGAATTGTCACTAACAAATAAATCTTTATTGTAAGTTATGACCATTTTATCATTATTAATACATTTTGAGTATTATTAAAATCAATTGCATCAAATTCATTAAAATGTGTAATTAATAAATGTTTAAATATCTGTTTACATACATAATCATGTTTTGATATTTGATTCTTTTTCATTACAGGACATCCTAACAATATATGAATAATAGATACAATTGTGTTATGACAATGTTTGCAATATTTTAAAGCATCATTTTGGAGTATTTTTGATTTAATATTTCCTGTCATAGTTACTCCTTCTTGCATCATTACTATTTGGAGGAATGCATTTCTTTTTATGTTTAATGACCTCCATGTGGCTACTGTTAATTTCTTATCATTGAAAGTGCCATTTGCACATCTTATATATTCACCACATTTCTTTTCTTTCCATTCACTTAAATATCTATCATTTAATTCATTATTTACCCATTCAAATACTTCCTTTACATTGTGCTTTCTTTCATTTAATTCTATTACATTCATTAATTCATTAAAATTAATCTTCTTACCAAATGCTTTATTCATTCTTTTAATTATTCCATTTGGATTTTCTTTTATTGTTTCTATCATTTCTCATATTCATATGTTTGATATTTATATTTTAAATATATTCTTAATAATTCTTTAGCGCATTCATCTCTTGCTGACATTAGTCCTATTCCCAATTCATTTTTTTAACATATAATCTACTTTTTGGGATATTTCTACTGTATAATTGGAGGTGAATTAATGATTTTCTTATTTGTTTATCTATCTTCTCCAACTCTCATAGTTTCCATGGGACAATACAAAATCCATATCTTAATTTGGAGATTATATCATTATTAATCTTTCTTATTGTATTAAGACTGCTGTACTTCATAGTGTTTAATGATGATAAAATAGAAGATACATCATTTAATATTCTTGTACAATATTTATTAATATTTACTTTATCTCATATTTCAATACCAAGATATTTATAAGGATTATCATTAGTTACTCTTGGTAGCTCAGCTAATTCACCATTTATTTGACTATTAATATTAGTCATTATCCCACTCTTTTCTACATTAATTTTTAATCCTATTGCATTAAATATTTCTTTAGTTAATTTGTGTGCTTTTTCCATTTCAATGAGGCTATTAGTCGTTATCTTTAATTCATCATTATATAATATATTGTTTAACTGGACTTGTTTTTCTTCTCCATTTATTTTAATATTTAATTTGCTTATTTGTTTATCTAATTGTTTAGATAATACATCAATAGATAATACAAATAAAAGTGGAGATAGGCTGTCACCTTGTATTATTCCTTTTTCTACATTAATTATACCTACACTTTCTTGATTGTAATATAAATTAAGTTGTGTATTATTTAATATATATAATATACTATTAATTACTACTAGTAGGATGTTAAAATATATTAAACAATGTTTAATCCATTGGTGGTTAATACTATCATATGCTTTGGAGACGTCATAATATGTTTCTACCCACTTCCATTTAGCCTTTAATAATAATTGTTGGATTATAGTGTTGTATAATAATCCTTCTTTTGATGCATATGTGTATTTCTTACATCCAATTTGATTTAATGATAATTGTTTTTCAATTCGATTTAACATCAGCTGGATTTCTATTTTCATCTTTAATATTGATGTATACACTTTTAACAGACAATTTAAACAAGTTATTTGTCTGTAATTCTGTAGGTCTAATTTATCTCATTTCTTATATATTAATATTGTTCTTCCTTGAATAAAATGAAGAGGTATTTCATTAGGATTATTTAACCATTCATTAAGTAATTTTATTAAATACTTCTTTGGTTGTTCTAAATATTTAATCCAAAATCCTTGTATTTTATCAATTTCATTTTACTTTCAAATTATCAATAAATTTAATATCACAATCTAATTCATTGGGAGTGATTATTGACATTCTATCATTAATTCTATTCTCATTTAATATTTCATATAAATTAATATTCAGGAAATCTATATTGGTGTTAGTTTCATAGATTCATTTCCAGAAATTAATAGTGGAGATATTATCTGGATATTCATCTTCTTTAGATTTATTTAGATGTTGCCTTTTCCCGTATTTCATCATTTTATATTTCCATCTTATTCTTTTCAAATTATTCTTTCTTGCTTCTATTTCTATTATTTTCATCTTTCTGAGGTATTTATAATAGTTTATTTGTTCATTTGTTTTCATTTTAATATGATATATCATTTTTCTTAATATGTATTATTCTTTTTAATTTCATATATTGTTTATTATGGAGTAAATCTCTTAATCTACATATTTTTGACTGCAATATTCTTTCTATACTTCTCTTTCCACTTCTTTCTTGTTTATTTTTATTAATTATGTTAATAGTGGAAGCTACAGTTTTAATATAGTGGTAATAATCATCTAATGTATTTATTATTATTTCATTTTTATTAATAATATTAATTATTTGATGTATTTTCTTCTTATTGTAATAATAGTTAATAAATTGTACATCTTCTTGTTCTTTCATTTCTTCTTTCATTATTTTCATTATCTTCATTACTTCATCATCTTCTATTTCTTCTCTTTCTTGTGTATTTTATTTATTATTTCTTTTATTTCATTATCTTCCATTGATGTTTTATTATTTCTTCTTCCATTATTCTATTGATTTCTCTTTTAATTTCATTATTATTTTAAATGCACTCTTTATTACTTCTTTATATTCATTAACACCATTTACTTTAATTCTAAATTCATGTATTAATCTTTCTATTAACTCTTATTATTGTTGACATTTTATGTTTTCTTTCAAATAATTTCAAAACAAAACATTTATAAAGTGTTAAAATTTCTTCTTCTCTGTCTGTTTGTTTCAATTGTTTTTTGCTTGTCTAATTCAAATGTGGTGTTCCTCTTATGCTGAATATCCATTTCTTCAATGGATTTCTGCGTTAACTTTCTTTTTTTTGGAAGATCATCTTCACTTGATGATATTTCATCAGCTACTACCACATTGGGGGAGAGGTCATTCACAATCTGTGTTCCAGATGAGTCTGTTATATTGTCATTTATCTCATTTTCTTCTTTTCTTCCTGTATGCTTTTATTTTCTAATTTAGATAATTTATCTTTCATGAAGAATATTAATTGATGTGTTAAATTATTTACTTCAAACATTTTCCTCTCAGATTCAGCATGGGATTTGAATACTTTTATCACACTCGTTGGTTTTTTTTTGTTTATATCCTTCTCATGCTTCTTCTTTAATGATAT